AATTTACTGAAAAATAAGCATTATTATGATTTTAACTTGAAATAACTGAAAGACTTATTTAAAAGATTTCAAATACAAAAATGAACATATTACTTCTTTTTGAAGAATGTAGTTTTCTAATACATTTCTCTTGCATATTAGCATATAAATTGCTATTTTGCAATTTGTGCTCTGTGAATTGAAGTAAATAAAATAATTAGGAGCAATCAGCAGGTTCATGGGCCAAATTAATTACACTGATGGTTTTAAAGTTTAGTTTATAGAGTTTTATTTTGTAGTGCTTCTGCCAGTCTATAGTCTCTTTCATGACAAAGAACACAACTTTGCAGACAAATCAAGAATATCACTGTTTGTCTTAGGGGGGACTGCAACATTGTTGTAGCCAAAACTGTGGCAACGCACTTTTTTTTTTTTTTTAATGCTTCAGAAGGCAACAGTATTGGGAGATTCAAACACAAAGGCAGCATTTTCTCCAGGCATTGCTGCTGTTGTGAGTGACTGAATTATGGAGAACAGAAATCTATTGCAGGGAAAGGGGTATCTGCTTTACAGTCAACATTATTTTAGCCCCTGAAATTTTTGTAACACAAGATTTTCACTTTGTGATTCTTTCCCCAGCTTTTAAAATTGTAAAGAGTAAGATTTCAAAACACAGATGTATATAAAATAAATTATTTATATATAATAAAATCCTGCTAGAAGTGATCTAAAACAAGGATGAGGCAAACTATGGGAAGGAGAATTATGTGAAATCAAATAAAATGGTGTTTTCAGCAAAACTGCAACTGCTGCTATGTGTCTAATTTAGCGAAACAGCCTCAGAACATTTTAGTTTAGACTGCTGAAGGGTCAAATCACAAACAGAAAGGGCTATAGTTCCAAATATGAAAACGTGTATGTTCATTCTTAACCTTGCTCAAAAGAAACATTTCATTTCAGCTCATGGAACCTCTAACAAATGTTGACAATTTAACATGTAAGTGTTGGCAGCAGCAGGACCTAAATACTGTCAAATTAATTCATCGATTAAAAAAAGAATATGCAATTCTTCCACACTTCCAAACACTAAATTTATGTCCAAAGGAAAAAAAATCTGCACAATGTTTGTCAAAAAATAAGACAAGCATATACAAGTTTTCCTGATCATTTAGGCTTCACTGAACAAAATTAAGCAACTCAACTATAGTTTACCTTTTAAATCACTATCACTAAACAAATGTCATTAATTTTCTGGATACTACTACTCAGTATGACAACTTAAGAAAAATGTATAAAATAATTCCAGCTATAAAGAATGTCTGTATTCTAAAAATAAATGAAACAGGGAGAGCATTGAAAGGAAATTTAACTAGATGCAGTAATCCCATGTGCATATGCCTGTTTAGTCTCAAATCTATTTCCCATTCAGCATTTATTCTTTGATTAACAATACGTCCATTTCCTAACCCATGAATACTTGAGATGGAGATCTTCTGAAAATTTTTATTCTACTTTTCATTAAAATCGTAGCGTGGACCCAATTCCCAAATTCAATGGGATGAATATGCAGACCAGTAATGAAGAAGATAGAGTAGTTTCTATCAAAGGAAACTATTTTGGATAGTTTTTTCCTAATGCCCTAATGATGTACACACACTAATTTTTTAGGTATCACAATAATTGAGCATTAAAAGCAGAAAATATACATACTAAAAATGTGTGCTTTATCATTCAACAGTTACGCTCCTGCTACATTGAAGTACCATCTAGATACCTGAGTGCCAAATTGGTTGGTTTTTTTGTTTTTTTTTTTTTTTAAATTTGTGTTAGTATTGCTGAGTCAATAACAGCTGCCTGTAACAGTGAGCTGGATTACATTCCTTTTCCTGTAGCATCAAAAGTACTGTAAACGGATTACTGTTTGCTGTGCCAAATTTTGTCTTTCCTTACATTTGTCAATCCTCAACATATGAAGCTGAGGAAAGAATTTGGCCTGAATATTTTGATCGCAGCTTACAATACGTGTACTGGATGAGAATAGTGTAACTGAAAAATCAAAACACAGAATAAAAACCCAGACCGAGTGTGCAAAATAACATGAAATAAAGATGCAGTACATTTCTATGTGCCAGCATAGTCAAACATTCCACCAGTTATCTCCTATAAGTGCATAGGCTCTTCAGCACTGATTCTGAAGATGTATTTAATATTAATCATCTAATTCTTCCACTAAGGAGGACTAGTTTCATATATTAATCTTTGTCAGTCCTGCACATAAACTTAACTTTGAATTTGGTTAAACTAAATAGCAAAGTAAAGTTTAAGCATGTGGTTAAGAGTACCCAGGAGCAATTATCTTAGTGTTAGAAAACATGATCTTATACATTTATAAAAAAAAAAAAATAGAAAAGAAATTGGAAAACAATTCAAAATAGATTCAGTGTTACATTATAAATTCCTTATTGCTATAATTTATGAAATTATGTTGCTCACTAAGGGTAAAAACCCAAAATAGAATTGTGTATGCTGGACAACATCAAAACAAGTATTATCTAGCAATTGCGATTTTGTGTCATACTTTGAGCCTTTCTCCTGTCCATATGTCTAGTTTCTTTTTTATCTTCACATAAATAATTAAATCATTATAGCCCGTATGTGTTCAATACTGAAAAATTTTGAGCTCTTTGACTTTATCCACCTTCACATAGCAAATGCATAATTCATGAGCAAATGCTAAGTGGAAAAAAGTATTATAATCAATACTTCCAAGACTGAGAATCATTCTTGTAAAAAACTTCTGATGACTAGATTTAGTAACGTAGGACTAAATAATTACTGACAACTGTTAACAGTTTATTATAAGGCAGAAAGGGTCATATCCGATAAAAATGCACAGTCAGTAAGAATTACAATGACATTGCAGTCCTGTATTATTGGAGTTTTTAAATTGTTAATGGAGAAAAAATAGCCATTTTGAACTTAATCCTTTTCTGTAGACTGTTCATTATTCAATGCTAAATTCTGCAAAGATTGCAGGTATAAAATATGAAATAACGAACCAAGATAGTTGTTACTCAATCATCCTGTAACAGACAACATGCAGTAAGTTTTTCTGATCTACTCTATTAAGCTTTGGGGAAGTGAATAAAGATTGGTCATTTGGGTTCAAACAATCACAGTCAAAGTCTCACAGAGACAGGTGAAAAATATTAGCATTTTCACCACTATTAGTTAAAATATCAGTGAATATTTTTTTATTTTAATTTTCATTATGAGCAGAACACAGGGTAAACATTACTAAATGAAAAACAAACTAAAGGCTGCCAGAAGAATATGGATCTAGATGAACAGAAATTGAAGAACAGAAAGTTACATCATACTGGTCAAACATCGGAATTAGCATCAGGAGCATCAAATGCTTTGGGATTATTCAGTTTTTTCATTACATAATTTGTAATAAAAAGAGGAATACCTAATGCATTTTTTTAGTTTGAAATTGTAAAACAAGAACAGAATGGAGCTTAGAGGCGCACCTAGGGATTTCATCCAACAAAATATATTTTTCTTGCTTTCCATTTTCTTCAATCCATTGGTTTCAAGTTGGAGTCTAATCAGAGTACTTAATTTTTACCTGTCACAGTTTATGTGCTTATGGTTAAGTTTTCAGTAACACCTGCATGATCTCTCACAGAACAGTATTTACAGTACATTTTTCTCAGTAAACAGGACATTTAATATAAATATATAACATTTTAAGGTATGATTCAGTGAAAAAATGTAATTTGAACTTTTTGTGGCTTTAAAGATTAGAATTATGATGTTTTCTTTTTATAGTGTTTAAAATTATTTTTGACTATTGGAAGATGAAATTCAGCTTCTCCAGGTTGTCAGTGTGTAAGAACTCAGCTAACTCAGAACAGAGAGGGTGCGGCAGCTGGTTCCCAGAACGCCTGGGTCTGACACTGATAGCAATAAAGATGAGGCACTTGCATAACTGAAGAGAGCAGAACCACCTTCCTTTTTTTTTTTTTTAAATGCTGTTCTTTATACTATTCAAATTCCACTGTACATGCCATATTAGATTACATTCTACATATACTGTATTAAATTACCTCATATGTTTGAAACTTATCATAACTGGGAAAGTACATGATCACTAGTATTAAAGAAAGTAAACAGCTATCCACCAGATCACCTTTGCTCTGGCAGGTCTGAATTTAATGCAATCTCAAGAAAATTAGATGGAAGCTGTTAAGATATGCTGCCTTGTACAGCTCCTAGATTCTAGAGGAATTTTTTTTGTTTGCAGACGTGAAGTTCATCTGCCCTATCAAATCAGGAAAACAGATTGCCTTATTGGATGCCTTTAGACTCTTCTCTATGTCACAAATACACATTTAAAATAATTCAGTTTCCTTCATGTAAGCATGTCATTGTTCTGTGTCCAGATGTCACTGTTGAGGTCACTGCTTTCAAGAATGCTACCTACACTGCTGCTTGGCTAAAATCTTCCTAGCTCAAGACAAGCAATACTTAATGTTACAATATAATTCCTACCATAACTTACATCAATGAATACTCAGCAAAAACTTGCCTGGAATATCTACTTCACACTTACAAAGAGCTTGCTCGTGCGTACAGCCGTTATCGAAAACAAAACTAACTTTTCACAACACGGGAGAACAAATAAAAACCTTCAAATTCCATTATATTTATCAGTTACTGAAGGCTATAGTAATTTTTTTGTCTTGGTAGTAATGCATAAACTTAAAAAAAAAATAGTGCATCTTTACTGCCATTGTCAGAAAAAAACAATTTACCAGCAAGCATATTTTTCCAGCGCAGAGGCCTAATTTGGATCTGTTTCACTGATGAAGGTTGAATATAGTTGTGTGAAGCTCCCTAACAAAGAGATTGTGGCAAGAGGCCCAGGTAGGTATATCACTGTTGCATGTATGTACTGTTGCATCTCAACTGTAAAGGCTAGAAATATTTGTGTGTGGCTTTGTCAGATGTCTTACCTTAAGTTTAGCCAAGAGAAGTTCATGATCTTGCAGTAGCTTTTGAGTCTCATCTTGATTGCTGCCAATTTCTAATAAATTTGGTGTTGATTCAGCCAGCTGCAGATTCACCCATTTTCCACACTATAATAAGCAAACAATTATGGGCTTCATTTGATTTACTTCCACAGACTCTTGCTGTCAGGTTATATAGACATATTCACTATGGTCATAGGAGCACTGGGATCCATAAACCTGTATTCAGTTGCAGAATCAAGACTCAGAAGTTACGATATACACTTAACTTGATTTGAAGCCACACGTCAAGATCCCAGACTCTAGTTTTAACCGATCTCTACTGAAATTTTGGTTTTGCCTGTGAAGAGTAAGATTATCACAATGGGCTGAAAAGGTTTCAACAACTCATCTCCCTTTTTAGCTGAAGCTTGCACAGGCAGTCAAGGAAATTTGTATAGGGCAGGAACAAATAGGTTGCAGTGGAGGCAAAAACCTTAATCTCAAGTCTTATTTCTGACACACAAATGCAACATAGCTATATGCTGAAGACATAGAGGGAATGAACAGCCAGCTGCAGGGACAGTAACTAGCCCTATGAATAGGCACTAAAACACCAACCTCTCATTCTGTCCCAGAGGATACACAAAGTAAGGAAGCATAACAGCAACCCAAAGCGTACCCAGTTCTCTTCCAGAACTTCCTAATCCTCTCCATGCTACAAAACTGCTACAGTTTGAGAAGTATTACACTGATAAAGGACAGTGACAAAGAATGAAGCAGTGACATCACACGGATCCCACGACATATGGGAGAAGTAAATGCCTTCACCCTAAAGTTAATCTTCCTTGCAAGAAGATTACTCCCCTACTCCTTGCAGACAAAGGCTTCCAGGAAGGGTGAGAACTGCGAGGACAGAACCCTCCACTGGCAGGACTGAAGTAACAGTACACCGTTCTGAATAATCACCCTAACCTTCAGTGACAGTTGTAACACATTATCACCTTATTCTGTATTACAGTCAGACTAGTGGCTTGGGCAAAGGTGATTCCCAAGTTGCCTTGAGAGTGAAGAATCAGATTGCCAATAAATTCTAACTGGGATCGGGTACCTAAAGTACCTTAGGCCTACAGCTTTACTCCACATCCTAAATGTTGTGCAAAGAGTAGGTGCAAATTCCAGTTCACAAACAGGCCTCCAGGTGCTCATAAGCACAGCTATAGACACATACGGGTTCCTATGATAACATGTGGGAATATGAACTCACAGCTTTCAAAAATAACCACCTGTTACCCGTTTTAAGTAACTTTTCTCAGCAAATATGCCAAAAGAGAGAGACAATCTGTATTTGTGAAGTTGGTATCAACAATATTATATAACAGTTTAAGTATAGTTTAAAATCATTCTAATTATGATTGAAGTTCCTCAAAAGATAATATTCATGTTTATGAATACATTTTCATGGCACCCTGCAGCTATTTGTTACTTTTTAAACAGAGCAAAAGGAATTCCTTTCCTCAACAAGCTTATTTATTTTGGCCAAATTATTCTATTTCAAAAACAAAAGTTTTGAACAGAAACAAGTATTAACTTATAAGGAAACCTTTTTTAGACATTTAATTAATTACAGGTACATGCCTTATCATTTTATGCTGTTCATTTGTATTAAATATTTAACAGAGGTAGTAACCACTGAGTAGCAGAAAACTACCAAGCTGAGAACAAAGGGTTAGTAATTCTTGCCTTACCTTAAGTATAGCTATAACAATACTGCAATCCCCAGCCTGAACAGCAACTGAACTGACGGTTGTTGTAGAAAGCATCCGCTCTAAATTGCCTTCATTCGACATCGTGTTTTAAAAGGGGGACTTTATACATTAAAGAAGTCTTGATACACTCTTACAAGGTCCTCTGCTCACTTCAGAAAGCAACAAACAGGGTTGCTTGGATTCATTCAGTGGAAGAGCTCAGCTAACACCGATTACTCTGCCAAAAGGAGAGAACAGGTGGTTAAAAATAGACAACCCCATTGAGTTTATCATTCTTGAGAGAGAGATTTGACACACCCCTAGTTTGGTAGCATTAAACTGCCTGTTCCTTTTTGTCACCATCTGAAGGGTGACAGGCTGCCACCATGAACATCACCTGACACTGGATAACTAAAGGAAAAAAGAATCTTGACTTAAAATAGCTAGAATCAATTGTACCGTTGAGGCTATGCAGACAAACCCAAACAAGCAGCTACGCGATCTAAATTTTCACATTCTACAAGTAATAGTTTTTTCTCTCCTACTAGTTACTGAATGTATTTGCTCAGCATAGTTCTTCCTCTGAGTCAAAGCATTTAAACAGGATGAGCATGTGTATATAAAGCAGATGTTGAATCAAAACAGATTTGTTTTTATCATAGTCACCATAACGACTGCAGTAAACAAAGTACTTTATGTGAATTCCTAAGTATTTTATTCCTTCCTAATGTTAAGATAATTCCTCTGGTTCTCATTTTAATTGTAAATTGTTTCTGTAGTCTTCATTTTGTTCTAAATCAGCAGATTAGGAAGCCATTGATAACGCTGTCTTTGTAAGAGCTCAGTTTTATTTAAAGCCTGCATTCCACGTAAGCTTTTTATTCAGTGCATGAAAATAAAAGACACTTAAATCACAGTATTTGTACAGCACCTTAACTCTATTGACAGAAGCCCAGAACATGCTACAAGTAGCCTACAGTATTAAACAGCAGCTGTTAGGTTTTCTTTGACAGAACAGCTGAGAAAGAGACACTGCTGTTTAAGTTTGCAGGTCACTGGGGCAACACAATCCTACCAAACTATAGACATAACTGGCTCATAAGCATCTGCTTGCTTTATTTGTTTAAAAATATGTAACACTTAGATATATCTAAGATCTAAATTAGATTCAAAATCAGGTGGCTGCAGCATTAGAAATTAAGTCCTATTAAGTTGCTAGCATCCTCAAGCTTGATTATATTTTAAAGAGTCACCTTTGTGATTAGCAGTAATAAAAAGCCCTACACGCCAATAATCAGAATATGTGTCTCTGAAGTTCCACACACTGTGAACCCCAGCTTACACCAGAAGAATACTTCTGAATATACATCTCAAAAATGTATTGAGAGCGGTAGTATAGTGCTTTGCACATTGTAATTGCAGATTAAACAGACTTACTTGCAACGAGACCAAAACTTGGGGGAAAATCATAAAAGACTTTGAACTGAAAGAAGCTGAAGGTAGAATTACAGTATAGTTGAACTGATGTGTCAAGAGCTGGCCTCCCCCCGCCCCTTTTCAATTGCTGGCATATTATAACCCTAATCTGATCTTCATCTTCCAACCATGAATTTGGAAGAGAGTATCCAGAACTGTGTTGTGGTAGTTTAAGCTGGAGATATTGCAGCTTAACTGTTCTCTAGTACACACCCACACGGCCAGTAGGACTTGCAGGAAACTGGATCCAACAACCTTTCAATTTCTCTGTGCTCCACTTCCAAACTCTGGATAACTGTCCTGAACTAAATGGGGTTCGGGAATCAAAACAAACGTTCTTCCAGTTAAAGAATACCATCCCCTACACCAAAAGGGGATCATCAACTCTCAAGCTGCCAACAAGGGAAGCAAGTATCACACAGCTCTCTAAAAACTCCTTGAAGTACCTTTCACAGGCGCAGAGGCCTTTTGGACTAAAACAAACACTGTATAGATATTCATGAGATTCATGTGAGGATAAGAACTTGTAATCCTTGAGACAAGATGGGTATTTGTGTAACACGTGTGGCAGAACAAAACATTTAAAATGTAATCACCACACAAAACTGGAAGGTAGAAGTCACGAAGGAAATATTTTAAAATAGAATATACAGCCTTATTTTGGATTGACTAGAAGATTGACATCTAGTATAAATGTTGTATAAATTCAAGGTTTGTAAAATCTGCTAAATATTCAAGATTTCCACAAAATATTATAGAAGAGGGAGACTTTGGGCTTTCTGCCTTGTGGGTAGGATGGAGAACAGAATTTCACTGCTGGAAAAACTGATGGGAAAAAACAGCTTGACCTCTAGTTAGTCTCATAACAGGAGTTATGAGCCAATTTTGATACTATGTCCAAGTGTTTCTTCTTATTTTTGTTTTCTCACAGTCATATTTTAACTGTATTTTTTCAGGGCACAGTTTGGGCCATTCCATCATCTCACTAGGGTAGCTAGGCATAAGAGCTGTTTTTCATTCACTTTAAACGAGGAACTATTTTTTTGTAGTGTTGATAGCTGAAACCATAGAAAAGCACTGCTCAAGAAGTTGACCATAAGCAAGTTTGGCAGCAGCTAAGTCAAGGATTCAAAATGTCTCATAATAAATGCATAGATATGGTACTGATTTAGCTTCAGCTACACATACAAGATAGAAACAGGGAAACATCAGAGCAGCATGCAGAGAAAAGGTAGGAAGGAACCAGAAAAAAGTATTATAGCATGACACATGGAGTCAAAGCTGAGAATTTGGGGACTGCATGATTATGAATTTCAACTGTGTTCACGGAAACAAAATTTAACAACAACTTATGCAAGCCCTTCGCAGTCTTGTTTATTTACCTATCCATCATGCTTCCTCTATCTGAAACAAACAAAATCAAAATTGCTAAAAGCTAAAAAGAAGCAAACTATCTGCGTCAGAAGAGAGAAATATCTACTTTTAGCTACTGCTTTGTGAAAGACAAGAGGAAGAACAACAGAAAGAGAAAACTGTAGTATTCATCATCTGTCTACGAGAAACAAGGAAACCTAACAAATGAACAAAGAAAACCATCTGAGTAAAACAGAAAATAAGATTAAGTCTCTGCAGTGTGAATGATGTCAGGTCTTATCTGTAACAACCACATGCAAAAAGGATTTGAGATCCAGATGTGATAACCCTCACTCATTTCATTTTCAACATGGAGTGTGTCTTATCAGCAGCTTTTTCTCTTGTATGGTAAGGGAAGTCCGAATTACAGTTTTGACAGCTGCACAGAGAGAGAGGTCCCATCTTTCAGGAACACAGGTTATATTTTGCTCAGAGCTTTGGAGCTGCCACTGTACTGTGAAAATGCCTCTGGGAGCAACAAAGTTCACTCTCTGCAAACTCAAAGATATGAGGTCCTTTACTTTGACTGGTTTGTAAATGTAACTGGGTCGGGTCTCCTTTTCTTTCCTTGTCTTATGCCTTGGAGAGTAGGCAATGAAAAGCAAGGGACCGAGGGGAAATGAGAAGGAAACAACTCCTGAGCTGATGCATTTAGTGTGGCTCAGGAAAGCTGTGAGGAGGTACATAAACATTGCTTCCCTGGCAGGCCACTTTGGGTAAGCCGCAAGATGTTAGACCCCAGCAAGCCTACAGCTGCTTCTTTTTGCTGGCTCCTGCTATCTTACCTTTTGTGCCATTTTCAGGCATCCTCAGGATCCTTGGAGCAAGGCTATGAAGAAAAACAACCTAAAAATCACCCTGGATTCACACAGAGGGAACCATGCCACGGCGAAGCATATTTGCATACATATTGCATACAAATGTGAAGGTGAAGCAGGAGATAGATGTTTCTCCTGGAAGAGGCTCCTCTTTACTAAACGCTGGCTGAGTGAGCTCCTGGGAGGACACACTGGTTGAAATCCTGGCCAAGTTTCTTTGTTCCTAAAAAGCAAAACCAAATATGACAAAAATCAGCCCGGCAGAAGAGGAAGGCAGGAAACGCAGATGTCTCCTCCTGAAGAGGTCAAAAAGTAAATGAATGTCACATGGGGAATGGGAACATGTAACACCATCTGCACCTTAATTAGGAATTAAGTACCACTTACTTGGAAATGACTGCTTCTTGCAGAGAGCAAGGCTGCTGGAAAAAGGAAACTGCGGCGTTTGCAGGAGCTGTCCCCCTCCACTCGAGGGCAGGGGACTCGGGACAAACAGGAGCTGGGCAGAAAACACTTCCCAGCGCCCAGAAAGCAGAGGGAGAAGTAAAGCAAATCCCCCCCCCC